CGAGTATCGCGGGATATACAGGAGCGAGTGGCGAGTGTAAATTATTTTTTCCTCTCTTTAAATACCGTGCAAGGCTGGAACCTTGGAAGTGGAGCTACAAAAAGTTGACATAAATTGCTAAAATGAAGCTGTTCGCATAATTAAGATCGAACTTCACTTGTTAAGTTTGTTTGATCATTAATTAATTATTACGCTTTTAGTTACTAATCCGTAAATATCATCATGTCTCAGTCATCCGTGCATTGTGTGAAAACGGAGGTCGAGCTGCTATAAAATCCCTTACAAAGAAGAACAAAATTCCGAAAGAAATATTTAAAGAGATGTCGACGACCTACGGGGAGCTTGGACCTTTATTTGCCACCGTAAAACGTTGGAGTGGAGAATTCAAGTGTAACAGGGAGTCACTAGACGATGATCCCAGGCCAGGTTAATGAAGGAAATATTAAAAAGGTAAAGAAAATTGCTCTAGAAAATCGACGAAGCAAGTTGTAACAGATAGCTGCAGCCATAGGCATTAGCAAGGAATAAATCGGCGATGATATGCATAGTATTTTCCACATGCAAATGATGTGCTTACGATGAGTGCCAAAATGCTTACTCCGATGGATAAGCCGTGCCGAGTCACAACTTCGCAGGAGTTTTCGGACATCTGTGGAGATAGTCCTGTCGTTGTTTTTTCCACATTATTATTGTTGATGAATCATGAATCCATTATTACGATCCAGAGTCAAAACAACAAGAAGAGTCAATGCAGTGGTTTGAAAAGGGAGAAAAGCCGCCACGGAAATTCAATATGGTGCCATCGGCATATAAAGCCATCGCCACTGTTTATTAGGACTGTGAAGGAATTTTATAAATTGACTACCTTTCTATGAATAGTACAAGGAACGGTGTCTATTACGTTGCATTGATGACACGCAAACTTTTTTGATGTGTTATTTAAGCAAAATACCAGTAACTGACTAATCTCGAGATCTCTAAAACTATAAACCCGATTGACTTGAAATTTAGTACAGTTAAAATGGAAAAAAGAAAACAATATTTGAGTTGACTCCTCTATTTTTTATAACATAGTAATACTCGTAATAAAATATACGCATAGCATAGCATAGCAAATTAACGATTTATAAAATAAAAACCTAATTCTTCTATTCATATCGAAATAAAATATGACGATTTTTAAAATTCTAAAAATGTATTTACACCTTGTTAACTCAACCTGCAGTCTCGTTATGGACAGAATTAATAATATCCACTTATATTATTTTGCAAGCTTTGCGAAGCGTAAAGTTTCTTGTGACGCATACATAAGTGTTAAAGACATTAACAAAAAAAATCTGCATTAATAGTTCTGTTACATAATACTGTAAATCCAGACCAGATTTTATTTTGCATTGAATATTGATTGGCTATAAAGCCGTATTGGCTGCAGGATATGCAATGCTAACGTGCGATTGCGAAAGTATTTTTGGAATGAAATCGGTTTCTAAAATTGTATAGTAAAGATAGTGCAATACAATATTGTACAATACGTATAATAAATCGTATACCAAGATAATATTAACATAACAAAAATATTATGTTCAAATTTAGACTTCCAATAAAAAGTTAAAATCGTTTATAAAGAATTTCATAGAATTAAATAAGTCGCATAAAATAATTAAATCCCCAACGTCATAGAGTGAAATTAATACTTTTTTTTGTAATTGTTGGAAGTCACTTTTTAATTTTTATTATAAATAAATTTTTTGAAAAATTTTGAGTGGGTTAAGAAAAAGCAAAAACTCGCATGTCGTCTCAATAGTTACATTAAAAAAAATTGATTTCTTATTTCGCCACCCTAGGGTTGAAATAATGTCTCCAAATTAATAAGGGACCAGACCTGAAGTAATGCAAAAACAATGGTCCATTCAATATAGTAAGAGTGGAGGGCTGAATGGATGATGATCATTATGATTGAAATAGTGCATCCTTGTTTTTTCGCATCATACTAGTGACTCGCCCTGGCTTCACAGGGGTGATTTCTGCATTTCGACAACAGCGCCACCTATCGGGTCCGAATGTAAATCCAAACCATCTAGGGACTTATAAATACATACACAAAAATTCTATCAAAATCAGTCAAACCGTTTTTGAGTTTTAGAGAGAAGAACGGACAGTAACAATCTTTTTATAATAAGATTTTCAAATATTGCCAAGTTAGATTACAGCTAAATATAAATACGATATTGCTAAACCATATAACATTAAGTATTTTCTCTAGTGACGTACAGAACCTACGAGTGGTTTTGATTTGTTTACAGACATGCGTGTGGGGCGAAATTAATGTAAGGAGAAAGTGAAAGGAAAAGTGTAAAAACAAACTGTTCGGTTTTTGCAGATATTTGGCTTAATATAGGAATTCGGACGATGTGTAAAACTGCAAATATGTTAATATTTAAAATTCTTACCATTATTGCGTCTTGTTATAGAATAAGGGTGACAAACTGACACATAGTCCACCTGATGTTAAGTGGATTCTTTGACCCATTGATATCTTCATCTATCCTCGATTAGGAATTAAAAGACAGATGCGTTATTACAGCTGTGGACTAAGATGCCACGTTTCAATTTAAGCGTTATCATCTCTACACTCATCATACGAAACATTGCAGAGCGTGGTTCTTCCACAATCGAGCCCACCCATTCGTGCCACAACCATAATATAGCTGCATGGCTCTATCACGTAAAATGGATATTTTCATTTATCTTACCGAAATATCATCATCATCATTATCATTACAGCTTATTAAATGCCAACTGCTGAATACAGGCCTTACCATTGATTGCCTCATAGGGGTAATAATTGCTATAGTAGCCACGCTTGGCAGGCAGGTTGGCAACAGAAGTTTTTTCATTACGAAGACGCTGCCGCCTATCTACTGGTTTGTCTCCACGGATAATACGTAATGTATCTATATACAATATTACAATAGTATGCAAAGGAATAATTTAATGCAATTTTCATCAAATTGTAAACGGCCGATTGACATGAAAATTCTTTATCGATTCTAAATCTAGATGTCTATGAGCCACAACATACACTTACCGTCACGTGGACTGCGTGCTCGTTTATCGTCCATAATTTATAAAAACTTTTCATTTAAAAATATTATTGCCATTGTTTTAAAAAAAAAAAACACAAGCCACCCGGGGGCCCAATCTAGTACGCAGCAAAGCGGGGTCTCCCGGGACCCAACCCGCCACAAAACTACTAATATAACGCAGAGGCCACCAGTAAAAAATTTTACATAACTAGTTCTATAAACAATACTTTTATAAATTCGTATGTGCTATCCTATACACGTCATTCAAAGACATAATATTTTTCACGTAAAGTCATGAAATATGTTTTGATAAAACAGACTACAAAAAGTAAAGTAAACATTACCTCGCACCTGCGATAACATCAGTAGTTCGTGACTGAGCATAAATCGATCTGAATACCCTGTAATTTGTTTGTGAGTGGGTGAAAAGGAAAGCCGCAACAATTTATTTAAGGATTGTGAACATGACAAATAGAATTAGAATCCCATGTTGTTTTCTTTTTTGTTATCACATTTATATAAATCAATGTTTATACGGATTAAATACTTAATTTAATGTTATATCACCAAGTGTTTATGAAATAATTATTGTCGAGCGAACATGCACATAGCCGCAAAATTTGTTTCTTAGTGTGGGTCATCCAAAAAAAAAAAAAAAACAGTATTGCTAAGACTAGTCCATTTACTAGTTTCATGTTGAAGCACAGGTTTTATGAAGCGCGGTTAATAGTTCGTTTTTGTTATTTCCTATTATTGCTTTTCGATATTTGAACGTGAAGCGGAGATGTATACTGCTGTCGTACGAGAGAAGGGCACATCTATCATTTTGGTCAAACTGAGATAATTGAGATTAAAGTTTTTACCATATTCTGCTTCATAGTGTGGAAACCTATCGCTTAAAAGAAAAAAAAATACTGATGATATATGCGTGAAGGTTAGTACTATTATATTTATTACTTTTTAAATTTTATATATAATTAATTATTAAATAAATTCAAAAAAATCCTTTCAACTTAAAAAAATATTTTAAAAAATACCACTTACTACAAAGAAAAGGCATAGTTAACCAAATGTGACCTTTCTTTTTATTATTTCAAGCAAATTGGTCATTGAGTCTAAAAGAAAGGGCACATTTGTCTAATTGCGCCTTTTTTAGTGTAAATTGACTTAATGATTTCTACAAAAAAAAAAAAAAAAAAAACAATAATCATGTGTAGAAAGTTTAATAAACCATAAAACATATTTATAATATTAATATTGTAGCCATTTCTGATTAGCTTATCCAAATAACTGAAACAAAACTTAACAAATCTTCTTCTAGCACACCAACATTTAAACAAAAAAAAAACGTTTAAATATTAAGAACGTTTTTTATAAATTATTAGGGATAAGCATCTACATACAATTTTGGTTAACAAATAGAACTTATGAATTTGAAACAAAAAGTGCTAATACTTAAACTCAATTACACTTTTTGTTTAGTTAGATACCTAAGGAAAGTAAAAAAATAATTACTTTTATTCTTTTTAGGAATAGGTTGGACCCTAACTTAAAAATCAATAAAAAATAGTTACTCTAAATCACAGTAATAAAAATAAATCAAAATATTCTTAACTCTTAATAGAGACAGTAATTAGGAGCATAAATTTTGGTTTTGAACTTTTATATAATTATTTATTGTTCATTTACAGGAAATATCTTACACCCGTAATTATTAAAGGCATACGAGTTTAATATTTTTTTTAACATACTATTATTATTATTATAAAAATTAAATGTAACTATAACAAACATAACATGGCACTTGGTTGAATTATCACAATGCAATATATTGGTAATAACTACAAAAATGTATAAAGAAAATTAAAAATTCCGTTTTGCTTAAAATATTAATTTAAAAAATAGTATTTAATTTCAGTCTTCATAAATTTCTGTGAGATCAGCTGAACTGTCGTTAACGGGTAGGGTTTCCCAAAAACCTCTTCTATTGTCAGGCATGAGTGGACCAAGCTTGGAAAGTATAGCTGATTTCCTCTCAGATGTTATACCTCGTGGAGAAAGCTTCTGCTTAGGCAATGGAATGCCAATTTTAAGATTTTTAATTCTTAAGAAGTCCAATTCTTTGCTCTTCAGTATCATGGCTGTTCTTGTAGAACATCGAATTGCTCCCACGCAGAAAATTGATTTCAGACATGTTTCTTAAATAAGCTCGCGGCACAGAATGTTGTAATTTATACGACGAAGAGCAGTCTTCAAAATCGTGAAAATCCTGGACTGTCATTTTTTTCACCACAGTATTTGAACCAGTATCAGCGACAGCTTTGCAAAAATCTTCAAAGTCATACACTCGCTTGTTCTTCTTAAGTGATTGCTCCACTCTATGGTGAAATTCATCGGCAGCCATAAAAGTATGACCAACTTCCAGATAACGCAGCACAACACTTTCAATATTTACACCCTTGGAATTGACTAAATATACTAAGTAGGAAAAAAGGCACCAATTTTTGTTTTGGGCCGCGCAGTTCCATCCAGCCACAAAATCACATTTTTGCAGTCCCGGTTTTCAAAGAAAAATGCGTGAAAGCAGCTAATTATGTCTTCCTTTTTTCTCCCTGCAAAAGCTTCGTGCCATATGACTCCCAGTGTTTTCCAACTCCATGTAACCTTTTGTCACCCACAGGAACAAAACTCTGATTGAAAACGATAAGCCTTGGACAAAATATTACCGTTTTAAATTCTTCCATGCGAGGTAACATAATTACCTTTTTCTAAATCAACCGCAAATATTATGGTGTCAGTACTTTTTTGCTTCGTTTGGCTTTCAACATCCTCTTCATATTTTTTTCTCGCTGAAATGTACCTAGTGTGATGATCTTCATATTCTTGGCATTCCTCGCAGTTCCTGTGCCTTATTGCTGCGTTAGGGTTGTGGATAGAAAATTTTTCGCACAATACACATTCCTCGTGTCCGAGCTTTGTGAAGGATATTTTAAGCTCATGTACGACATTCCTATAAAATCCATAGGACACATTTATTTCAGGCTCTTTCTCACAGTAATTGTCGTACATCATGCGGATATTGATATCCGAGGGCAAATATTTCCGGTTTGGTGCATGAACTCTCCTATAATGCGACACAACTGGACGAAAAGACATAATATGTTCTTTTACCTTTTTTACTGTCTATTTGTGATGGATTCGGGTTATGACCTCGGCCGTCAGCAATAGGCTCTGCATATTGTGTTTTATAGTATGTGTCAATAATGTACCTCACAGCCTTACAGTTACTTTTCTTGTAACCCAAAGTTGTGAGAAAAAAACATTTTACATACCGTAACTTTCTCACCGTTTTCATCACATAAGAAATACGAAACAGTTTTAGTTCGATCATAGTGTTTACCATGCTCATCATCATGACTTTTTTCTTTGGTCTTGCAGGCTTTTGGTGGATATTATTAGCTAAAAAAAGTGTTTTTGTTCCGACCAAGACATTTTCCAGAAATTACGATTAATAATTTTGCGGTAATCCTCTGAGAATTTCGTTGAACATTTTTTTTACAAATGTTCTCTTGGCATCCGGGTTTCACAAAATATTTGGTATATATTTTTTCTTCTCTTTTAATTTTCTTTCGTTCTTTAAGACAAACATCATATCTTTTGCGCTTTCTTAATGTCCCTTTTTTTGTAAGTTCATCTTTTGTAGATTCATCTGAAGATTCTGAAATCGATTTTTCCAAACACGGTTGAGAACATGGAATGACGTCTGATTCGGAGCCAGAATCATCCAATAAAATATTGGCTTCACGTCGTTCATAGTTTTCATTATGACCCCTTCATATTTAAGTTTTTAACCACTGATTGTTTTGAGCATTGAGCGGTAATAATGTACGTTTTGTGGTTTTTTGGTGGCTCATAATCTTTATCGGCTACTGAATCGTCTGAATCAAAATCTGATTCTGATACTAGAATTTGTGGTGACCAGTTTTGTAGACCACTAGTGTACGGAATCTGTTCGTCAATATCTAAGATCTAAGCTTTAGATTTTGTAAAGTGGCGCTTACTAATCTTTACCACGTGACTGCATTTTTAAAATTATCTGAAATAAGGGAAAAACAAGTGAAATGAATGATAATATATGTTTATCATATTCCTACTTAATTCATTAAATATTATGACATGTCACATAGGTGTTAAGCTAAGGCACGGTAACATTATCTAAACAAAACTTCACACATACGGACGAACGACCTCCGGGTGTAGACATAGTTAGATAATAATAATATTACCGTGGCTTTGTTTGACACATCTGTCTAGAAACCGACAGGTAACTGTTGAGATTACCTAGGTGTACGACCTAACCTACAAAGTTATGTACCTACCTACTTGAATTAGAAACACATGTTAACATGGATAAAACGTAAATAAACTTACCTAGCGCGGGCAGGCTGCTGACAAGCGTCGAGTCTTCGACGTCGCAGGCACAACTGGCGCGTTTCAATCAAACCCTGCCCTCCTTTCCTCACCCCTAATCGTAAATAATTTAAAGAAAAGGCACAACTGGTTATTTGTGCCTTTTATACGTAAATTAATTGAGACATACATGGATCATTAATTAAGTAGACAAGGCACATCTGGCATTTGAGCCTTTTCTTTATGTTATGTTGTAGGTGTGCCTTTTCAAAGTAATTTTTTAGAAAAAATCTGTATGAAGTAATAGTCACATCTACGTATTTGTGCCTTTTCAATATAATGGTAAACAATAAAAAAGGAAAATTTTTTTTGTAGCTTTAAACGAAATACGTGTTTCGGTAATTAAAAAAATTAAATGTATTATTTAAAACATTACATAAGTGTTGAAGTTGTGCACTTTTGGATCTATATTTTTTTAGATAGATATTTTTTATTTAATTGTTTGAGGAGAGAGGGAGAGAGAGAGAGAGGCTCAATTTATTTAAAAAAGATGGAGATGTTTTTTTTGATACTTTATGTACTGATAAAATAAATAAATGGTTGTTAATGATGACCTCTAAGGTAATGGTATATAAAATAATAACATATAAAGTTTCAGACAAAAAATGTTAGGTTTGCAATTTTAATCAAAAAGAATTTTTATCTCTTTATCTTCTATCTATTATAAGTTTTATTTACTATGTCATAAATATTTCATGGAAAATCGGTGGTTCTTTCCGCTACATGTGCCTGTACTTACTATTTTAAAACAAAACTACTAGGATAAGATTATAACACTTTTTTATTAATATATTTTCACATATTGCACAGAGTTTTCGAGATAATAGTAAAAACTGACTTTAAAGTGTTTTTTCGATAATTAAACTCGCCCCAAGGCTCCTAATATAGAACTGCAGCTTTTAAAGTTCTACGCGGACTAAGTCACAAGTACAGCTGATAATAACACTAAATTTAAATTATTCTCCATTATTCCACGCGCCAGAGTATTAACAAATGAAGTCAGCAATTTCATGTTTAGGAAAACAAAAACAGAAAATGAATTTATCGTTGTTTAAAGCCGCGACTGCGTATTTTCCCGCTTTGTTACAATTCTGTGGATATTGCGTCAGCGGTCCTTAATAATAATTATTTACCCTCGCACAGGTAATGCTTATTCCCCTTCACTGAACTGTGCTGTAAAATAAATATTAATTGTGTATGTAAATGTAAGTAACTTGGCAACTGAGGTTTGCTCGAGGTTAAAACAAAAAATTTCAGAATTTACACCTATCTAAAAAACTTTTAAAGTAAAACGTTACCTAAGTACAAAATGTAATCCAAACAGTTGGAATAATTTCCCAGATACTATAATAGTATAATGTATAATTTTCCTTTTTCAAATTAAAAAAGTTTACGAAATTGATTATGAGGTTGAATATCGATAAAACAATGTTTTTTTTTAAATACTGTAATTAAACAATTGTCGACCACAGCTGTAACTTCATTGTTAAAAGGTATGGATTTTTATTGGGTACGGGTATCAAACGAGCACATGGTCCACCTGATGGTAAGTGGTTGACGTGGACCATAGACATCTTAAACGAATCCAAATGCAGATGCGTCGTTGTCACCAGTGAGAACTAAGATGAAATACCTAGTTTGCAGTGAAAAGGGTATCCGTTTCTCTACACTCACCGTACGAAACATAGCAAATTTAAGCATATAGATATATGTGTCCCGCAAACAAAACGCTTGCTGTGGGACCTTGTGGGCTTGAATACTTATCTTTTTGGCCTTATGCCAAGTAATTTGGGATGGACATAGCATGTCTTTCTCTTCTTTCTTTTCTATTAGCGTCATCTCTTCACTCATTCGTTTCTTACGCATATCATCCTTAATACAGTCCATCTAACTATTCTTAGGTCTCCATCTTCTCTTATATCCATCTACTGTAACTTAAAAACGAACAACAAAATCTAAAATAATCTGACCACGTTGTAGGAGATTTTCTGAAAGACTTTCTCTAAGGTAAAATTATCAATCCTATGACTGGAGCAAGAAAAGTTAATTATAACGAAGCATTCCGTCTTAGTCGTCAGGGACCGTTCGGTGCGGCGTGTGGCATTGTGGCGGCTTAAGAATATCCACTACCCCATATCGTTTTGAGGGTGTCGTAAGAAGCGACGGAGGGAAAATGAAACAGAAGGTGGACCGCAGCATCTTTCTGATAACATCTCAAAATAATAAGAACCTGCGGCTGCCAACCCGCTAGCCAAGTGAGGCAACTAAGGCAGAATGCGCTCATGAAACAATCTATGAGGGGAGACCTATTTCCTGCTGTTATGGAAAGTAACTAACTTATTTAATGGAAACACTGGTGTTTTTTGGAAGAAAACATGGAAATATTAATTTACATGCTTGTTCTAATCAAAATCAATGAATAGATTTTGATAACAGTCTCATTTATCATCTATAGAAACTTAAGAGTCAGTAAACGGTCGATAGCACATCCGTATGAGCTTACATGAAATTGGCACAGTGGACATTATTGAAGATATGTGGCTATAAATTCAACTAAGTTGCGAATTATATAATCGAAAAAGCTGCTAAACTGCTAAAGTTTACATTAGAAATGATAAAACAGAAAAGTAAAAAGTAAAGGTCTCCTCTCTTTGGAGAATTTAAAAGTA